GCTATCTTATTCTGAGTCCTAGGGCCGTATGCTATCCTTCCCCGAAGCTAGGTGACCAAAGTTTCCTTTAAATTTATTTGTTTTGAACGATGTAGTTTCTTCATTTTCAGTGCATGTTTACTTTAACCTACATACATACATTAAATGTAGGCCCTTTATCAGGGCAATCCCAGTTGGGAAGACAGAGAAAATTTAAAGGAATTTTCGTCCCCTAACCCCTTCGGGGAGATAGCATACGGCCCCTAGAGAGCATTTCTTTCTGCTCTTTCACACCAAGGATAAAGTAATATGTGAACGACTCATTTGAAATGCCTTTGATAAGAGCCGAGTTTATGTCCTCATTTCACAGATCCTACCCACATCTTATCCAATTTACTACCACCAGGTCACCTCCCCCCCCCACTCCCCTAGCGATTCTTAAGTATTGAAGAAGACAATAGAGTGCCTCTCCCCCGAAAAGATTTGCAGCGGCGGTGCGAAGGTGTTTGTTTAGTGGTCGAGGTGTTCCTTACACAAGAATTAGGTACCCTTTTCGCTTGTTTTGGACCCTGTTCTCTCCGTTCGGCCTCTTCTTTGATACCTCACCTATTACCTGTGGTCCTTTTTCCTATCAAATATGACCTAAGTTAAGCACGATATAGAATTGGAGTAAGCTCTTGTTTATCAGTGGTGGTACGGTGCTTATTTTCGTGGCAGACCATTGAAAGTGAAAGGGCGCAAATTTTCACTGGTTGATCAGAAGAAAGAAAGAACCTACCATAGGAAACGATTGGCAATTTTGCAAGCGCTCGTTTGAGGCTAGCTTGGACATGCTGCTACTGAGTGCTGTCGGCATAGTACTTTTCGTTTCTCAGTGTGTAATGTTATGAAATTCCGCTGTTCGCTATTGTGAGAAAACTTCAATGGAAAGAGGATGTGTACATTCCTGCGGATTGCTATGGGAACTTTTCATCAACACATCTGGCAGCATTTTTCAGCATCAGCAAAAAACTGGTTTCAAATACTGTGCACTTGAGCGACATCCATATGAATGTCTTAAATTCGTTCCAAATTTATTTAGAGCAGAAAAATGACGCCTTAAATCGATTCTTCGTAGAGGGGCTCTTTTCAAAAGTGCATCTTTTGCAACATGCAGACAAGCTGCTGATATATATTGTATTTGTTCATTCGAATCTCATTTACCAAGCAATCTTCGATATTATGGCAGGATTTCATATTGAAGAGTATTTGAGTTTGTGGCACTGCATGGTCTCTATAGTCTATCGGGTTTGATTACGCTACAGTCGAAATCGAATAAGCCCCGAAACTGCATGTATCGTCGTGTACGAGACCTGAATTACGGTGTATTTCTATGCGGAATCCTTGATTAGCGTGACATTGTGATCGAACAACATGAACTACAAAGGATTGCCGGGGTGTTCGCAAGTTTCACTTTTCGCCGATCGCACTCTGCGGACTCGATGGTGACAGGCCGTAGAGGGGACACTGTATCGGGGACTCGCTTGTTTATGACAAGGCGACAAGGTCGAATGCTGCGCCTTTCTTTTCTCTATAGTACATTCACAGCAACCTCCTGTGGTCCTTTAGCAGTATCGTATAAGTATCGAAAGTTATGAGCGTACGAATGATCGCGACTTCGTCAAGGAAGAAATAATGGTTGTGCATGGCAAGCTGGCACATCCTTCTCAGTTTGAAGCGCTCCATTTTCTTCGGTATATTTCACCAAAACCTCTAGTATCCTTCTGAAAGTCAGTAACCATTTCCCGGCTCTATGCTGGTGCTCCAAAACTGATGCTGCGCCTACCACGTCCGTCCGGGAGAGGCGGAGTCGAGTGGCTGACGGGGCTCAGCTGTGTGTCCCTAATATACCCGTTTCCGCACCACACTATCGAGCTCGAGCGGATTCTGTCCGCTAGAATTCCCACCTCTAGTCGCACTCGTGGTCCTGTTGACTGTCACGCAGCCGCCCCATAGTCACTGATGTTTCCTATTAGCGCTGCACCTTTTTTGCTGCTGTTCGTGCCATTCTGTGGCAGTCAATGTGAGTGAGACACGTTTTTCTCTCAAACTTTTATAGATCCGACTCTGGGTAGCACTTCTAAAAGACTGCTAGCTCTGGAGAATTTTCCACTTTTTTCCTAGCATCAATTACTGCGCCAATTCTACGGAGGTGCGCGTGGCCTCATCAGAAATGTATCGCTGCTCTGTTCTCTTAAACCGAGGAGAATTGCATTTAGGGAGCAGCGGACGGCTTGGAGCAGAAAAATGTATGCGGTTGTCCGATTCAGCTGCTCCTTTTCTATTTGCTGACATTCGTTCTGAAATTTTATTCGCCAATTATTCACATGTTTCTCTGAATTTAGTCATTCGCACTCCATGCGCGTTCAATTATTAGTAATTATGCCCCAATAGAGTACACATCGATTGCACCTCGTCGCAGATTATGATGCGGATAGCAGTCGTCTAATGGGTGCAACACAGAGGGATTTGCAGGTGCAGCGGCCGTTCATAGCGTTTGCAAATGCCTAATCAAGCTGAACAAGCTCCTTTCCGTCTAACAACATATTTCACACTTTCATCCATTGTAGTCTTCATTTACTATTTGGCAGGAGCTTGCATTGCACTGTAGATCAGGATCGTTTCTATGGAAATACCTTCAGAGAGGAGACGAGATAGTTAGCACTTAGAATGCGCGATGCAGTTGAAGGAGTATCTCAAGCAACAAATCTACTTCCCCCCCCCTTACACTCCCAGAAACAAAACACGACCTTCCCTTCCCATTCATGGAGAAATCCTCAGCACTCGGTGTACCTTGTTTGGCTGAGTTAAGCGCAAAGCACAGATCGCTTTCCACTACAGTAATACCGAAGATGTTTACTGGTCACATAACTTTTGTTTATAATAACAACTAAGCTGTTTATGCCAATGGGAATTTGCAGTTTGCAAGGGCGAATGTATCAGTTAGAGACTACAAATCCTTAAGAAAACAGATCAATTCGTACCAGTCACTGTAACGGATTTATGATTTTTCCCTTTTCAGTGGATCCGAGCACACCATCTTTCATTGAGAATGAAATTGGTGACAACTATTTCAATGTCACTTTTACGCCATCAAAGTTCGACGACGAGGTAGGCTCCCTTGGAATTCCTTACTCTCTTCTGCCCATTCTTTCCAACTAAGGAGATGTTGATTCAGGAACGACGCCCAGTTGGAAACACGTTCCTCGTAGAGTATCGAGAAGCTGACACAGATGAATGGAAGCGAGTTCCACAAAAAGGTTGGTTTCGAACTGTATCGCATTCTTTTTAATTGCGTCTGCGTAGAAACGCTTATCACCCCACTCGTTGCCGGGCAACACTCGTGGACTGGAATTGCGAGTGTTGTACCTGTCTCACCTGTGCTATAATTGCTGCTTCCAATTACAGGAGACGATTTGACCGTTCAAGTCGGTGATCTCAATCCTGGAACAAGGTATGAGGTTCGTGTTGCTGCTCTCCAGAAGGATCCAAGTGGTGCAGAAAGGGAATCGTATTCCCCATCAAGTTATATAACGACTACTGGACGGTGTGAGTACCAGCTAGTGGCCATTGTGGAAGCTGAATCGATTCTGTGTTTACCTTTCTCTATGTCTCGTTTCCAGCTCCGAAAACGGCTCGTTTATGGTGGGTGCTGTTGATCCTGCTTATTCTGTTGTTGTTGCTGTGCATTCTGTGTATGATCTGTGTCGCGCTGCGACATCGCGGACAGAACTACCCGGTATCTCAAAAGGAACGCGAACAAGGCCGCGAACCGATTCTCGCAAAGCAACATTTCGGCGAGTACAAAAAGTATGTTTGTGGTTTACTCTTTATGTTCCCACGCCCGTCAGTTGTTTGTTCCGTCGTTTTTCAAAGATCTACAAGCTCTTCTTTTCCGTATCTTTTCCTCAATGACATTCATCCTCACAGACAGTTGTCAAGATCTCGCGTGTGCGATTTACAGCGAGGAGTCTTGCCTGTGGTCTCAGTGTTTTCTAATCGAACGGAAAAGTGTTGTTCCAGAGTTCAACCGATTTCTGTTTAGTGATGATGATGAGAAGCGATCATTGACTGGTAGCAAGGCGGAGTCTGAGACTGACAGCATGGCTGAATACGGCGACACCGATCCCGGCCGATTCACAGAGGATGGCAGCTTTATCGGTACTCATTCAATTACTTCTCTCTTTTTGTTCATGCATTCATAAGTATATTTGGCACTATTTACCCTTTACTGCCCCACTCCTCGAGAACTGAGCCGGATTTTTATCGAAATTGGTCATTGACTGTGAATTTGGCCAGAAACTTGCCTTCGGGGGTAATTCGACCCGTAGAACACGAATATCACATTGTTTACCGCTAGAACGCCTGGCGCTCGCGTCAGAAGCGCCGGCGCCAAAAGGCGCCAGAACATCTCGGATCCCCAAATTCGCTGGAAAGTTGTCCTCAGAGGTATTTTGACCCGTAGAATATGATTATCACATCAGTTTGTTACGAGTGAACCTGTAGCCTGCGCTACGAGCGCCCGCGCAAAACTGTTGTGATAGCGCCGGCGCCTGTGGCGCGGGCGCCAAGCGTTTTCGCTCTAAACCGGTATTATATTCGTGATCTACGGGTCAAATTACCCCTGAAGGCAAGTTTCTAGCAAAATCCACAGTCATGGACGAATTTCGATCAAAATCCGGCTCAGTTCTGAGGAGTGGGGCAGTAAAGGGTAAATAGTGCCGAAATTTTGTTAATATACGGATTCCGCGTTTATATGTTGCTAATTTCTTTGAAGATTTAAGTCAAGAAACTTGCGGAAGCGGCAACGTAAATCGGGAGAAAAAAAAAACAAGCATAGCTCTGAATAAAAAAACTCGGATTTTCGTGGGAGGTCGACCGCGTGATACAAAGAAGGCCAGTCGCTGCGAAGAGGGGAAAAACGCGAGAAGAACATCGTGAGGCGAGAAGAGCGCACACCCAGCAGTATGGTGATAAGAATGGTCAGTCGGTCGCAGCGGGTGAAGGCTGTAATTAGCTCCGTCGCTGCGGCATGTTTCAAGTCCGTACAGTACCACCACTTTTGTGGTTGGGGTCCTGCTACCTCACCCAAAGGGTAAATTTCCTCAAGAATCTGATTCAAGCAAATTGAAATGGGAGCCGAATATTATGCATATGATAGCTGGGCGAAAGTTTTGTCTTTAACCCCACGTAAAATTGAACTGATCGAAGGTACCACATTTTGTGGGTGCTCTGCGAAAATAGAAATAGTATCTAAACAGCTCTAAAGTTCGGCTTATCGCATTCGGAAGGTTTCAAAAAACATTTTATGTTAGGTTTATCAGCAAATGTGTAAGTGCATTTAAGGGAATTTGATGGTGGATTTCCTGATCGTGGAAAAACACCCTAGCGCGCTGTGGTAGTCCTTGACGGGTTTGAATTATCAGTGTGGGAGCACACGAATTACCAAAATAGGGAATTCAAATATTCGCGGAAATTCCTCAGAAGTTGATGCCTCGCAAGTGTTAGGCTCACCATGTAGCAAGTTTTGTTCGTTTTTGACTCCAAAGGGAGTCCTACTAGATTTCAAGTTTTGTTTTACGCACAACTTGCATCGCATGCGTTTAAGATCGCGCTGAGTTTGGAAGTGTATTCTTGGACTGCATTTCTCAGAATTGATGTCATATCTTGCAGGTCAATACGTTCCGGCTAAGACGCTGATGCCACCGGAGAGAACGGAGAAGGGCAGCACGTCGACTTTTGTCTGAGCGACGACTTCTCGTCCATCATGTCCACCATCGTCAGTGTTCCGGTGATTGCGATGCTCATTGGCATCGCTAATGTCGTCGTTTCGTGCACGTGGCTCTTCTGCTCCGTGACCGGAAACACACATTCCTTTCGTGCGATTGCTTGGTGTGTTCGCATCTGTGCGTTGCAATGTGCTCGGGTAGGGAGTTCTTGTCGAGATCTTCATCGTCGCCGTCGTCTTTCATGCATGGGACGTTCTGTTCTTGTTTGATCTCCGTCCCGATCGACCATACGGCCGACCGACTGATTGATTGACATGACCCCTCGCATATAGTTGTTGTTATTTCTATTCCTTTATATTTTCGTATATTTTTCCGTAATATTTGACTAACGTACTCACACCTACACAAATGCTGCTGATCAAGTCATTGTGTTTCGATTATCGACATGCCTTTATTCGTCTCTCTCTGAATAACTCTTTCCCGTATGAATCGATTTTTTTATTGAAGTCTTCTAACCAGTGTTCAATTGCTAGTTTCCCACTGACGTGGAGAGAGAAAGGGGTGGCGGTGGTCAGTTTTAAAGCGTTGCCGTTTGAAGCAAAAGTGGCTCAAAGTTGTATCGCCCCGCACAGCTAGGTTCATGTTTATACTTCAAATCACCGCCACCTTTGTTCGTCTTGCACGTTCACTTCTGCTCAGTAGGTGTTCATAGGAAGCAACACCTCGCCTCCCTTCTCCATCATCAGTAGGCTAGCAGCTGTTCTAGGTAAGCCCCTGGGGCACAGTTTAGTCCCATTGCTGGACTAGCCGTCTTTCCGCGCGCAGCCTCTCCGATTTAACTCTGCCACACACATACACACTTGTTCTACATCATCTAATGATTTCTGCTAGGCATTAAACAACTTATTAATTTGAGCTTCCATTCATGTTGCTGTTTAGCTGATTCCTTGTATTGTTGCATAAAATGGCATTATGAAGATTATTCCGTTTAGTTGTGAACGTTACAAACTAGCAGCTCAGAGTAATTCTGAAGTCTTTTCCACTAGGTATCATCACCCAACTCATCTCGGTACTTGGCTGTATATTGCTAGCAGTAGGAAATAGATTGTGCAGTTCACTGAGGGAAACTGCTTGCGAAAAGGTACTACTGCTGAAAGACCTACTCAAGAATGATTTAACATAGCCGAGAATTAGCGTCTTCAAAGTGCACCGCACACTTCGCTCCGTGGAGGCATCAAAGTTCGAAGATGAGCAGGGATCTTCTCATGTGAAGCCAGTAGGACGGGAGCTCGTCATTGCACTGCTGCCAGTCTCTTACCCAACTATCTAAATGTTTGACAAGATATTTCAGTCTGAAAGTACATTTAAGAATGCCACCTAAGCCGTGACGCCCGGATTAATGCTGCCACTTCTAGCTTTAGAATGTCAGTCAGCAACCTTCCTCTCAAGTGCAGCGTCCCTTCGTACACAGCATGAATAGCACGAACTGCTTTTTCTTTATGCAAAAAGTGCGAAACAAAGTATTAGGTTGGAAAGAAAGTCCTGCAACACTTTTTCAAATTTTTGATTTTAATTTTATCTTTTTTGTTTACAACTCCTGACCGGTCTTATATCTACCATGAGTGTCCACCACTTGTCTTCAACGCTCAGAAAATTTCTTGATGCTCCTTTGCCAAAACCCAGCGGAGTGCGGGTCGAGAAAGGAGGCGACCTCACTTTCGAGTTGGAGTTGATCGTCTAATTATTTCGTCATCAAGATGATGATTTAAGGTCCAGGATAGGTGGCAGTCATTTATAGCTCGACCAGGGGAATACGCTAAGAGAGGTAAGAAATCTTGCCGCAACTCCAGAATTTCTTACCGGGCTCATTTCGGATCATGGTGATTCGCAATGTCATGAAAGAAATGAATATTGTCGCGGTACGAGGGCTCTTGACGAGCTGCCTCGACCAACTTCT